AGGAACAGGAAGAAAACAAAAACAAAAAGCAACCAATCTATTACCTTCACAACAGGCTGTGAAGTCTGCAAAGCTAGTCTCTTGCTAAAGTTTCAACAGGGACTTGGCTTCTGAAAAAGTGGGTGTTGAAAATTAGAGATGATACAGTTAGATTGTGAGGACTTCTTAACACTTGCACTCCTAGTTCACAAACTACTATGTTTCCTCATCTTTCTGGGACTCCCTAGGCAAGGACTCCCTGAGAATGGATAGCCTTGGGCAGAACTGTGAAGTCATCACAGATGGCCCCTCATTTACTCCTTTCTCTCCCCAGAAGTTCCTACCCTAGTCAGACCTCCAGGGTTCTTATCTTCTGATCCATCCGGAAAGAGGTTTAAAGTAGGAATTCTCAATTATCACTTGAAAAGTGCTATAGAAGAATGGCTGGGAGAGGTGGTGTGCCTATAGTTACAGCTGCTTGGGAGACTGAGGCAGGAGAACTGCTTGAGCCCAGGAGTTTGAGTCCAGTCTGGGCAGCATAGCAAGACCCCATCTCTAAAAAAATTTTTTTAGGTGCTGTAGAAGAAAGTGAAGATTAAACCAAAGGAATGAATCTCTGAGTGGTAGAACTTCAGGGACTTTGATGAGTGTGAGAGGTCTCTGAGTGAGAGGGTCTTCCCAGTGCCTGGAAGCTCAGTCTTTGATGGCAGCCTTCTATAATACACCCCGTAAGAACTGACCTGCTCTTCTAAACTTTTCAAGGTGGGTCTTTCCACCAATGCAGTTTGTTTACGTTTAAGTAAATGGTACAAAAATCATCATGTAATTGTTGGCTGGGTGCAGTGGCTCACACCTGTAATCCCAGCACTTTGGGAGGCTGAGGCAGGTAGATCACCTGCGGTCAGGAGTTAAGGCCAGCTTGGTCAACATGGTGAAATCCCGTCGCTACTAAAAATACAAAAATTAGCCAGGCGTGGTGGTGCACGTCTGTAATCCCAGCTACTTGGAAGGCTGAGGCGTAAGAATCACTTGAACCCAGGAGGTGGAGGTTGCAGTGAGCCAAGATCCCGCCAGTGCACTCCAGCCTGGGTGACAGAGAGAGACTCCATCTCAAAACAAAACAACACCTGTTACATAACACACTTCAATGATCTGTGACTAGTATAGCTTAAAGAAAGCCAAGTGAAATAAACTATAAAACTATACGCCTATGGAATCTTTTGATTCAGAGGCAGGTACATACAAAAATCAAAACTGGCCAGATATTAAATATTACATTGAGCAAAGGTAAAGTGCTTTAATAGACATGTATAATAAAAATTTCAGATCCCTAAGTAGAAAACATTCAGCTTCGGTCTTCAGTAAGTGGTACCCTCAATGCCTGCCTCTGTGTGTGTGTGTGTGTGTGTGTGTGTGTGCGCGCGCGCGCGCGCGCACGCCGCACTCTTGTGGGAAAAATTGGTTTCAGGACTTTTCCTTCTTTGGTGTTCATGTCGTGAACAACAAAGTAAGATTGATTTGTTGTTGTTGTTGTTGTTGTTTTTGAGACAGAGTCTTGCTCTGTCGCCAGGCTGGAGTGCAACAGCACGATCTCGGCTCACTGCAGCCTCCGCCTCCCAGGCTCAAGGGATTCTCCCCCCTCAGCCTCCTGAGTAGCTGGGATTACAGGCCCCCACCATCATGCCCGGCTAATTTTTGTATTTTTGTAGAGACAGCGTTTCATCATGTTGGCCAGGATGGCCTGAACTCCTGACCTCAGGTGATTCGCCTGCCTCTGCCTCCCAAAGTGCTGGGATTACAGGTGTGAGCTACTATGCCCAGCCTTGATTTTTTTTTTTTTTAAGACAGGGACTCGCTCTGTTGGACAGGCTGGAGTGCAGTGGCACAATCTTGGCTCACTGCAACCTCCGCCTCCTGGGTTCAAGGGGTTCTCCTGCCTCAGCCTCCCGAGTGGCTGGGATTGCAGGCACGTGCCACACGCCCGGCTAATTTTTGTATTTTTAGTAGGGACAGAGTTTCACCATGTTGGCCAGGCTGGTCTCGAACTCCTGACCTAGGCCTCCCAAAGTGCTGGGATTACAGGCATGAGCCACGACACTCCAGCTTGATTGATTTTTGGAACACCTTATTGCCCACGCTGAAGTGCAGTGTCACCACCACGGCTCCCTACAGCCTCAACCATTTGTGCTTAAGTGATCCTCCCATCTCAGCCTCCCATGTAGGTGACCACAGGTGTGTGTCACCACACCCAGCTAATTTTTTTTTATATATATACGGAGTCTCGCTCGGTCACCCAGGCTGGAGTGCAGTGGTGCGATCTCGGCTCACTGCAACCTCCTTCTCCTGAGTTCAAGTGATTCTCCTTCCTCAGCCTCCTGCCAGTAGCTGGGACTACAGGCTCGTGCCACCATGCCTGGCTAATTTTTTGTATTTCAGTAGATACAGGCTTTCACCGTGTTAGTCAGGATGGTCTGGATCTCCTGACCTCATGATCTGCCTGCCTCAGCCTCCCCAAGTGCTGGGATTGCAGGCTTGAGCCACCGTTCCCGGCCTAATATTTTTATCATGTATAGAAATGGGGTTTCTCCATGTTGCTCCAGGGTGGTCTTAAACTTCCTGGGCTAAAAAGATCCTCCTTTTGGGAACCTAAACCCCCCAAAGTGCTGGGATTACAGGCATGAGCCACCGTGCCCCACCAAGATGTTTTTGAGACAGGGTCTTGCTCTGTCAGGCTGGAGCGCAGTGGTGATCATAGCTCACTGTGGCCTCAAACTTCTGGGCTTCAGCCATCCTCCTGCCTCAGCCTCCCAAGTAGCTGGGACTAAAAGCCTTTGCCACCATTCCTGCCTTATTTATTTATTTAGAGATGGGGTCTAATTATGTTGCCCTGGCTGGCCTCGAACTCCTGGCCCCAAGCCTCATGCAATCCTCCCACCTAGGCCTCCCAAAGTGCAGGGATTACAGGCATAAACCACCATTCTAGGCCTAAGTTTATTTTAATTTTTTTAGCAAAAATCTGTGGAGGAGGAAACATCTACCAGTTTGCTCTCTTCCGAGTCTGCTTCTTACATGAGATGGGGTTAAATACATTTTAGGGTAAAAGCAGAATGGTAGGATGTTTTAAATGTACGAATACATAAAAATGGAACGGAGTCTTTGAAAAGGGAGACAACAGAAACGTTAACAACAAAGGGAGTGAGCAGAATGAAGAATGGCATAAAAGACCAAAACCCCTTCTGAACAGCTGGAATATCACACCAGAGTACTAAACACTGGTAATGCCATCAGGATATGATTATTCATCATGATTATTCACTCACCTCGTAAAAAATTTTTTATGGTGGCTGTGAAATTTGAACCGATAGAGTGGGGTGGCTGTGGCAGGGAAAGCTGGTGACACAAATCATGCTAATGGCAAGGCCAGGTGAGTGCTTAAATGGTGTCGTCTTTATAAACCTTGGCACATACGTTTGGGTACTGTAAGCTTGGGGCAATTCTACTGGTATTTCCCTACATTTATTACCCAGTCCCTCCCCTGTCCCCCAACAGCTGCAACTTTAAAAACAATCTTTCCAAACTAGCTTTGAAGAGCTGCACTTTTCCTTCGTATGTACGTTGCTTAAGTACGCTGATAGCAACGTAATATGACATTTCAAAGGGAATCCCGTCTTCTAATCTCAGGGTTTTCTTCTGGGGAACTCTCCCTGCATGTGCGGATTAGGGAGCTCGGAAAGCCCGTTTCAACTTTTCAGTTCCGACTCCCGACTCACTACTCTGCCCTGTACTGTCTGGAGACTTAACGGGAGCTAATGCGAGGCAGTGAATTCTCCGCTCTCTAGTTTTCCAATTCTTCTACGGTCTTCAAAAAAGGTTGTCTGCTCTTGAGCAGCGCCTAAACTGAGAAGCGGAAAAGGCGAGACCCGCTAAAGGCGGACGGGTGGCCGAAGCGGAAACCCAGTTAAGAGCAGGGACTGCCCTGGAGAGCATAGAAAGCGAAGGTTGCGGGGGAAAGCAGCGCCCCTCCGAGGAAACCGACACCGCCCCGCCACGCCAAGCCAAGCCAATGGGTGCCACCAAGCAGCGCCGGGAA